GTTAGTATTTGAACCACCCTCTATATATATATATATATATATGGAACAATATATGTATATATATAATCCTAATTGAGTAAGAGAAAAATTGATTGGTTTCCCTTCATCCCTTGTAAGTTGTTCTTTGCCTGGTAGTTACGCCCACAGTGGACTCTTGATTTTCAATTCATAAAATACAATTAGGGTTCTTGTTCTAGCCACCAAGAAATGAATTATTAGCAATAAAATAATCAAGCTATTCGTCATAACCTTCTTCCACAAACCCTTAAAGGGTATAAATATGCTTCTCGTTTCCTTCATCTCCCAACCACATCAAAAACCTTCTTCTTTGTCATTACCCTACTCTCTCGCTAGACACATCTGCATATAAATTCTCCCAGAAATCTGAATAACTGAAATACGAAAAAAAAAAGATGGAGTCTTATGGAAACGTTTTTGATGAAGAATGGGTGAATCTGAGCTCAATATTCTCCTGTGATCAAGATTCCAATCATTTCGCAGGCCATAAATTGTTTTCAACTGAACATGATCATGGTTTGAATCTTGAAGCTCCTTCTATTCTTTGGCCAAGTGCCAAAGAATCTAATAGTTCTAATTCAAGTGTTAACGATGATCAGATTTTAGCATATACTTCTGATCAAGATCTTAAGCCTAATTTCTGCAATTATTTTTCTCAAGAAAGTATTAATGCTACCAATTCTCTTCCCTACCCATGCCACGACGACGTTTTCCAGTTTTGCCATTCAAATACACCTACGGATGATGTGTGTGATCAGTCTAAGGATCTTTCTTTGAGGGAAGGTGACAGTAACAACTTTTCGCTACTTGCTCAAGTCTTTTCTGATGAAGCGATGGAAGAAATCCTTTGTTTGAGACAAGAGGTGGTTAAGTGTAAAAGGGAGAATTCAGTTGGTCTGCCTGTGTTTATTGCTGATCTGGGCAAGGAAACCCCTCTCAAGAGGAAGTATGAAATGCTTCAACTTCCCAATGAATTGGAAGATGAAGGAAAGAGTGAGAAAATCGATAAGAACCCCAAGAAGAAAACTCGGGTTTCAAGAGAAAATGTAAGCATCTTATTCACCCATTTATTTTGAGTAGATTTATACAAAAATGATACATATTTAAGAAAATAAGTTGATGTTCGAAGTACGTACAAGATCACATGTGTTTTTACATTAACAGCCAAAAATAGTTGACATGGCAAGGTCTATTCACACATGATTTATACATGGTGTTAGTGTAAAATCACATGTGATTCATCCATTCTCTTATTTTAAATAGGTATCATTCTCGTATCAACCCAACTCTTCTACTTATATATGTGTAAATCTATATATGAAAGAAGAAACGTTACCAAGAGTACTTTCACGTTGTTTCACAGAAAAACAAGAAGAAATTGACATCAAAGAAGAAGCAGAAAATGATGATGACTGCTATTAATAGCAATGAGGATGATGGTGAAGAGAGCAATCAAGACAATGAAAACATTATTAACAATAATAACGGAAGAGGAAATGCCCAAAGTTCAAGTTCTTGCAGCTCCGAGGACGATTCAAATGTTTTTCAAGATACGAATGGAGGGGCAATCAATTTAACTGTGAAAACAAGAGCCGGTAGAGGCGCTGCAACTGATCCCCAGAGCATCTATGCAAGGGTAAGTTTTTGTAAATGTGAACTTCATCTCTTCAAAAAAATTATTTGTGTGTAATTAATGTACATACTTTCAAATTAATATGTGTTATATTTTCAAATATGCAGAAAAGAAGAGAAAGAATAAATGAAAGACTTAGGATCCTTCAGAACCTTGTACCAAATGGGACAAAGGTTGACATAAGCACAATGCTTGAAGAAGCAGTTCACTATGTCAAGTTCTTGCAGCTCCAAATTAAGGTAAGATTAGTGAAGATTAAACGATAGTTTCATAACAATAACAATTCAAAGGCCCATTTTAACTGTTTTTTCGGTGAAATCTTGCAGTTGCTGAGCTCTGACGATAAATGGATGTATGCTCCGATAGCGTATAACGGAATGGACATGGGTCTCTATCAGAACATTTCACCAAATTTATAGATCGCACTTTTGGGAATTTTTTCTTTATCGCCCAGTTACATAATCAAGAAACAAAAAGACATAATATAACATAACTTGTAATGTATTGTAAGTGCAGAATTCATTTATCCTGATCATGATATGGAGTTCTTGAGGTTAATTTATAATACTTAATATGATCTTGTATTAATTGCACATGTTTTACAATTAGAAATGTGATGGCTTATTATTTGAAAGCTTTTTTCAAGATCAATGGAATATTGCAATTAATCATATATATGTTGACTAATTATGTGCATGATCCATTGAATCTATTAATTTTAGTTCTAAGCTCACAAAATAAATAATGAATATAAAAGATGTTGATATTCTTGCATACATGTTTGTGTTTCTGAACTTGTGTATGTAATTGTTCGATCTAATCAACTAGAAATTGAAATGGCTGATGTTCATGAACCTGAGTGTGATTTAAATGGATGGTAAGATGACAATTTTAAAATAAGAGTGATTTAAACTTAAAAGCTATATTAATGATATGTCCTTTTTTTTAATCACAAGGGTGGTGTCTGATTGGTTTGAGCTTGGTTCCAAAGGTCAAAAGTACCAGGAGGTCTCAGGTTCAAATCCAGGGAAGAATAAAAATCCCCTTGTGGCCACAGAGGTTCAAATGCGGTGACTCCGGGCTATCTGTAAAGGAGGTGGTCGTCCTGGGATTAGTTGGTTCGCATAGTAGATTGGATATCCAGGTCAGGGACGGACCCAGAAAAATTTCCATACGGTGGCACCATATAATTAATATAATATAATATACATCTAAAAATAATTACACAAAATATGGTTTTTATGGTACCGATAAACAACTCGTAAACTTGTACCCGACGCGTTTTCATCTTTTGAAAACGGTCAATATATACCAAAAAATAATTACAAAAAAAATGTTGAGAAACAACTTCTAAATTTGTCCTCGGTGTGTCTTCATCTTTTGGAAACGATCGATTACATCTTCGTTTTTAACATTACTAAGGGCTTCCTTTTCTATGGCGCAAATGAGGACAGAATTCAAAAAATCATCACCAATTCGATTACGTAAATCTGTCTTAACAAGCTTCATCGCCGAAAAGCATCTTTCAACCGTAGCAGTTGCAACAGGCAAAACGAGTGTCAGTTTCAATAACCGGTAGACTAAAGGATGAGAAAGATGCTTTCTTGTTGCAACCATTAATCTGGCAAGGTCGGCAATACCGTTTAAGTTGGCAAATCGGACATCATTATAAACAGAATGATAGTAGATATCAAGTTCATGCTCAAGAATGATCCTTTCCTTGTCTTCAAAATCTCGGGGGTACATCTGACTCAACTTCAATAGGCTTGATTTGTTAAACTGAGAAAACGAATTGCGTGGATTCAAAGCCGCCATATTTTGAAGCAAGTCGGTGCTTATCTCACCAAAACGATCACCAAACTCTCGGATCTACATATCCAAAACAGTGTTGAATATATCATAGTTATAATAATGTTGATTGGTAATGTTCGTCTTTTTCCTTGAATTTCTTGTATTAACATAAGCTTCAGTCATATTCAACTTCACAATCTTATGTTTATCACAAAAAGAGTAGCATTTCTCCAAAACTTGATCAAACCCATTTTCCCTCAACATTTGYAATTGACCTTTGGTTGTTCCTATCAAATCAATAGCTTCCAAGATGTCTTCATCTTTCCTTTGAAGAGCTTGAGACAATGAATTTGTTAATCCTAAGATCGTTGAATTCAAGTGCATATAAAACAAAAATTCAAATGTCTTTAAGTATGATAAAAGACCTCTTGCTTGAAGCCAACTAGCTCCATTATCACCATCATCTTCGACATATTCAAGCACCTGTATGACCTCTGGAAACAAAGCAATCAAACTCACGATTGTTTTAAGATGAGAATTCCATCGTGTATCTCCAGCTTGAACAAGGGAAATCTCTTGGTTTAACCCCTTACCAGTCTCAATCTCCCCATTTCCAATTTCTTCTTGAATTCTCTCTTTGTGACTTTCTCGTAGCATATCTTTTCGTTTGCAAGAAGAGTTTACAACAGTAACAACCAAAGCAAGCAAATCAAAGAAGTCYTTAACACCTTCGTGTTTTTTTGCAACCGCYACAACTACTAATTGAAGTTRATGGGCAAAACAATGTATATAAAATGCCGAGTCATTATCACTCAAGATCAAAGCTTTCAACCCATTGAACTTACCACTCATGTTGCTAGCACCGTCATAA